CGATTTCATAATGGCCGTTTCACTACATCCGAGTGAACATGAAACATTTCATACATCCTGGTCTAGTTGCGTTGAGGACGTTCTAAAGCAGGATTCAAAACTTCACTGCATGTCCAGATTTCAGGTATTCCAGATAAAAGAAAAAAATCGGTCAGACTCTGGCGTGCATTAACTCATGAGCGAATAGCTTCAACAGATACCGTAATACAGCTTTAAGTTCCTAATATTTCTTAAACAAATCACAATGTACATTGTAATGTGAAACAACAGTAAAACAACCTTACAGTTGTATTCCCAACTGCCCTAGATTTTTAGCAGACGCATATCACATCGGAGACCACACAAATTTTACTCCATGTGTACATATGATGCCTAGTTTTGCATTTTAAATGACATTCTTGTTAATGGATTTTTTCCTTTTATAGGTTAGATTTGTTGTGAAGTACAGACACTGTGATGGTAAAGTATCAGTGAAAGTAACCGATGACCAAGTGGTAAGTCAGACTTATTATACGTGTCAGTAAGGCATCACTGAATTGTAATTTGTTATTATGTGACTCAGGTGATTGGTGCTAAATATGCCAATGAAATTTTGAGACATGTCTACCGTAGTATAAAAACAAATGTTTGAATGAAAGTCATGGTTTGATTGAATGAAAAGTCATGGTTAGGGTACTGGGTATGTTGTTTTTTGTGTCCTTGCACATCGTGTGTGTACAATGTAGTATATGTTTTTGCTATTCCCGGGGTGGACATCTAAGCATTTTCACCACCTGGCAACCATCATGGTGAAAACAAAGGCTGAAAACTCTCAGAAAAACTGTACTTTGGAATAGTTGTTCTGACTCTCCTGAACAAGATTACCCCTATATGTGTAACATATATAAATTTGGTTGCTAGGGATTATGATACCCTTAGTTTTCACAAGTTTAAAAAAAAAATGACCGACCAACCCAATTTGTATATTTTCCGACTTGAGGGCAACATAAGTTTTTTCTTTTTTTTCTGGGCCTTGTGTAGAGCTCTGCACGTTTTAGCAACATAGAATGCTCTGTGATATAACTCCACCCCAGAGAATACCTTGTACCTTGTTTCCATGTTGTACGTCATGTACATCAATGGTGTTTTCTGAAAGAATGGTGCGTATTTAAGTGGGTCAAATTGAAGACTAGTCTCTGAGGTAGGACGGGGCCGTCCTCCATGTTGGCCAGGCAGGCCAGGGAATAGCTTCAAAGCAGAGCACATCACCATTATAGTTGGAAAAATCAAGTAACAAAAGATAAAAGCTGATTTGCATAGCATAATGTAATTCCCCCTTGGTCTGAAATATGAGTAGCTATAGTGTTTATTAGTTATTATTCCCCTGGTCATAGTGTGGGTGGGAGTGCTTACCAGCATCTCTATGTCTGCACAATCATAACAGGAGCAGGAGCTGCCCAGCACTCTTGCAGATTCACACACTGCTTAGTGCTTTATTGAAGACATTGCACATAGATCATTTACGATGACCTCATTAAAGATATATCTGGAACACTATTGCAGATAGATAGATTCAACCAGTGGTGTAAAAAAAAGATGCAAGGGGATCTGCCATCTCTGATTGCTTTCTTGTTTAATCTTTAGTTTTCTTATTACTTCACAGTGCTTACAGTACAGAACTGAACATGCACATGATATGAAGAAACTAGAACGACTCAGCAACACGCTCATGAGATACATGGTATCAAAAGAACATTAACAACACAACATCCTGTATCATGCAAAGACAGAAGAATTATACTATGGAAGGAATGAAACAACAACATTCTGTTGTCAAAATGTTGGACTGTATGCTACAGACTGTGACATTTGTAATTGTACTCGGATGAAACCAGAACAATTGTGAAAAGTCGTACCTTCATTGGTATTCAAAAATACCGGTACACTTCATAGAGCGGGAAAAATCTGCCACTTTAAGATCATGTTTTGAGCTCAATAAAATAAGTAAAAAAAGTCAATTTATTAGATGTTATTATTGACATACATTTTCTCAGTAACTATGCCTGGAATGGGGACTGCAAGACACAAATTGCTAGAAACATGTTTAAAACCCGCAATGATTCATCCTTTAATTAAATGACTGGCCCACAGTAAATTGCAAATGTCATTTGTGACTTAAATGAGATTATTTTCTGAATAAACTTATTCCCGATGGGGAGGTGAATTTTATTAAGCCATACATGATTAGCTTGAGTTATTGCGCCCTCTGTGGTAGGTTCTGTCTGGTGCAAACTAGTAAGTGAGGGCGCTG